CTCCACAGTGGCGGTATATCTGGCGCAGGGTTGGAGAGAAAATTCTCCAAATGTAGAGAGGCAAACACTAATATTTTAATAAACAATATTGTAATCTAACCACCTTTTTTTCAACAAATCAAGACCCCATTATCTTGTCCAGATTAAAAATTGTTTTAGCAAAGCTAGTCCATCAAGAAAGTGGACCACCTCAACGTGGAGAATTCTTTATTTATTTATTTTGGAAAGGTAATTTTAAGGGTTTCGATTCCATGTGAGGGACGGGGACGCCTATTGGTTTGAACCGAGCATTTCGTGGTTGCATGTTATCCCTCTCTAAGAAGCTGCTTTAATGGCCAAAGTGGGGTTGCTCCTCCACGGGAAGGCCATGCCAATAGAAAGCTTTTGCATTTCTTTTTAGTTAATTAATCAAAAACACACCACATCGAGCAGTGGGGGAATTTTTTAACAGCGGACCAAACTGAGGTTTTCCATTTGATTGATAACTATAGTTTTGGAATCATTATGCTCATCTCTTCATCTGCTTGGTATGACCTCTTTCATTAATTAATTCAATCACTATGGTGCAAGTGATAATGTTGTAGAATTATGTCAACGCCTTCTTTCCACATTCATTTTCATAATTCCTGGCCTTATCTTTTTTATGTTCCATTTCTAACCCATTGATTATTTGATTCTTTCTTTGAGCAATCATTTTCATATGAAAAGTCCTATGAATAAATCATTTTTCACAATTCACATTATATATTTGTTTAAGTTTAAATTTAAAATGTAATATTTAGTTAAAACTTTATTTCTATTTGTACAACATATTTAATTGGTTAACCTTATCAAATTTAATACTATAATCTTTAGATCATAAAACTAACCATCAAATTTAAACTCAAACTCATAAGCCTAATTACTTACTTACGAGTGAATAAAAGATTAGTCTCATACCATAAAATGAAAAAGATACATATGACAAGTATTAGAGTTTGTGACCCAGATTTAGTTTTGAACTAGTGAAAAAAATTTGTCATGCGATTTTTTTGGTGAAGAAATAAAATTGACAGAAAATAAAGATCTATGATTAATGTAGAGTCTTTCGAGATTATATTTCTTGTTACTCAAGTTTCTTTTATAATCAACTATTTGACTAAATGTTAGTTGTTTAAAGTATGTGATTATAAAAAACTATGAGATAAATTATGATATTACAAATCATCTTGTATTATTCATTTTCATTCTGATTTTTATATAAACATGCGTTCATAATCTATGATTTTATTATCGTTCACTTTATTATATTTACCGTGATTAACAAAAAAAAAATAGTATGAAACAATAATATTCAATCAACTATGATTTAGGTGGCCTAAGAACTTTATGGTTTTAAATTATTTTTGCTAGGGCAAGGTGTTATGTGTGTAAGGTGCCATTTAATTAAATATAGGAACAATATACATGAAGTGAACCTTTTTAATTTGCCAAACTGGTAATAAAAACATTATCCATCCAGAAACTAAGCTCTTTCTAAAGGCAATTGCCCTTGTTTCCCATAAACAAAGATCATTATAAAATTTGGTTCCCACATATCTGGGAGTGCTGGTTATTATTAGGAACCTTCTTCAATAATACTTTGAAAATTGTAACTTAAATATTTAGAAAAAAAACCGGTTAACGTTAGAAATTGTCTCCAAAGGACACTATAATGATAACTTTGAGAAGTTGCCTTTTAGCTATCTTTTGCATCCTATATACAACTTTATATATTTTTAAGAGATTATTAATGTGATATCTATACTATGACCCCGTTAAGTAATGTGATGCATGTCTCTAATATTATTAATTTCATGACATGTATAATAAAAATAACAATTATTATATTCACTTATAATAACATGTCCCATAGTTCTTTTAACGAATCTTTATTTGTTTTAACTGGTGTAATTGTTTTCTAATATATTAAGTATTTTTATTGCTTTAATTAAATTTTTCTTTAATTAAGTTCAAAATATTTAACGAGACTCTAATACTTTTAAATAAAAATAATAGCACATGTCATAGTGATCTTTTTAGTTGTATTTGATAATCATATGCTTTTTTATGAGTTTTTCATTTATTATCGTTGTCTTCTCAAAAGGTGTAATTTTTGACTTGTTGAGTGTAAAAGTAATGCAAGCCGGTGTTAAGGGAACTGTTCAAGCTTAGGGTTGAGACTGCTTGTAACACCCTAATCCAGTTAGATCCGAAGATCTATGGATTATAATGTTATACGGGATTATCGAAATAGTGACCCAAAATTTTCTTTTAAAATTGTTTGTAAATCTCTAAAATTTAAACATGTATAATGTAATATAAAAACATAATAATAAACCGGGTTTACAAATAATGAGAGCTCCCAAAATATATACGCTAACTAATACAAAATACAAAGTTTCAAAAGAATTATAACTAAATACATAACAAGGTCCATAATATTATATGCCCTCTAAAGATGACTTAAGACGTACTTTAAGAGGTCTCTAGAAATCTGCTTTCCTGCAGTGGAATATCTAATGACGATAGCTCTCCACGACCTGCTCCATAAGAACCTGCGCACGAAAACAAATTCTGAATGTTGAGCTTACGAGCTTAGTGCCTCACTAAAATTGTACTATACTATATGCATTCACTACATGAAATGAAAAGTGGCACAAGTCTGAATATACAACTACTGGATTGATAATCTGTGGCCGACATCATAATGCGACCGAGGGATTCTGAATCTCGGTGGTCACGCACCCCTCTAGCACTGCCGAAGCCCAATTGGTTACTCTTGGGTGAGATCCCAAATTCTGCATCTGAACGTACACACACCGACTTACTCCAAGTCTTGGGGCATTTGCACCCAGTCAGCTACTATAGTGTCGTGACACTAAATTGGATCCATTGACTGTCGTATTTTTGCTAAAAGGAACTCGGGTGTCCTGATTGTTTCTCGAGCGTCAACCAAGGCTAGTTTTATATAAACCTAGCTATTTATGTTTCTACTATTATGATATTAATTATTGTTCTTTCTTGAAGTCTTATTTGAGGATATATTGAAGTGTTGGGGTACCTCGAGTCTAATTCCCTTAAAAAAATGGCATTGTTGTCCAAAACATACTGAAAGTATCGATAATATCCCAAGAGTATCGATACTCTTTCAAAGTTTCGATACTTTATATAAGTACCAATACTTTTAAACATTATGTTCTGTTTAATTTTAAAATTTTATGGGAGTTTCGAAACCATGACCCAAAGTATCAATACTCTTGAAAGAGTATCGATATTCTTGCCCAGAAACTCACGAGTTTGCCCGAGAAGATGAACAAGTTTCGATATTATCCCTCAAGTATCAAAATTCAACCTGCATAGAACATAAAATAGGTGTAAAAACTTCTATTATACTATCTCAAAGACAGACCTTAGTGAGGTCCTCAAACATTATTAATGTTTTATGAAGATGTAAAGGAGCATAAATAGGACTTTAAACATGTTTATAACTCTAAAACATGAAATCTACCATGAGGATGCTTCAAGTTATGCAACCTACCACATTTCATTTAAATGACTTACATATGGTATAGTTGAGTCAAAAGTGAGTTACCTTTGATGCTATACTGCTGGAAATGTCAAAGACTCAGTCTAAAGTAAGCTTTTCCTTCCCCTTAGATTTGGAGCCTTCTCCAACCTCGTGCACTAAATAAAACTAAATGCAAGTGTTACTAACTATTGCAAGGGATTAAGGAGGGTTTTAAAACACTTCCTAAGGCTAGCAATATCTGAAAAATGGGTTGGAACCATCTAGTTCCTAAAACTCTTCTAAATTTGTTCTTGCAACTATGGTGAAATGGGTGTCTTGAGAGCTAGATACAAAGCTTGGGATACAAGAATCATGATTATTACCTTTAGGTTGCTGAACTAGGGTTGCAACACTACCAAGTTTCTACCTTTACTTGGTTATTGGTGAGGAAGAAAGAGTTATGAAGATGAAGTTTTGAAGAGGAATAAGAGACAAATGAGAGTTGAGAAAAAAGGGTGTATTAGGCGTGATATCACCAAGCAATTAAGGATTTCATCCTTATTTTTTAACAAGGGTAAAATTACATCTTTGGTCCCTCAAAATCTGATTGCATATTAAAAACACCATTTTTGTTTCACTAACGGGCTCAACTTAAGCCTAAATCCTCTTTAATTTTGGTTAAGGATTCCTACAAGCTAAGTAATTAAACCAAGACCCATCTCGGGTTAGCCCAATATTCTAACCCGGGATTCAGGAAGTTACAACTCTCCCTTCCTAAATAAAATTTTGTCCTTGAAATTTACCTTGGTAGAAGAGGTGAGGATACTGAAGCATGTCCTCTTCTGTTTCCCATGTCGCTTCCTCAACGCCATGGTTCCTCCATAGGACTTTCACCAAATGAATCCTTTTGTTCCTTAACTCCTTCACTTCACTAGCCGAGATTCTAACTGGTTCTTCTGAATAGATCATATCTGAGCTGACTTCAATATGCTATAAGGGTATGACATGCGAAGGGTCGGAGCGGTATCTTCTAAGCATAGATACATGGAACACATTGTGAATGCGCTCCAACTCTTATGGTAAAACTAGTTTGTAAGCCACTGGTCCAATTCTCTAAAGAACCTCGTAAGGTCCTATGAAACGAGGAGTCAAACACCTTGTAAGGTCCTATGAAACGAAAAGTCAACTTGCCCTTACACCCAAAGCACCTTCTTCCAGTTTTTAGTCTCATAAATTATAAAATAGTTAATAAACTTCTCAAACATTACAAAGTGGTCATTATATTACCAAAAAGATTATTTTTAATATAGTTTAATACTTTATCCAAAATGTACAACTTTTCCTTAGGCATTTATTATATTCTAAGATGTTAATTAGATGGTGATATATGCATGATGAGTAGAGGGAGAAAAGGCAAGAGAAATAAAACATTTAAATTTGAACTATAATTACTAAATTTACTTTTTAGTCGTAATTTATCACATTATAAAAGCATGAAATCATTACAAAATCCCCCATTAGATGTTAGCACTGAAAGGCACACCAGTCTCAAGAATCCAATACTCTCCCTATATGAACCTGGAGGCAGTGAAAGGAGTAGCCTCCTGGAACTGTTGAAGACGTGAAAACCAGGCCACTTGATTCTGTTTCCAGTGGAAGCACCACTCCCCGTATTCATATACTCACCATAATAGAGTGTGGAAAGTGCAAAGGTGCCACTCCATTCGTCCCACCCCTCGGGGTGGATTAAACTATCGAGGTCCGTTTTCATAAACACAGTCCTGGAATACTTTTTCCATGGCCTGCCCAAGTAGCTCTTGAACAAATGCTTGACAGGTTCCAAATCAGATGCCGACCTTACTCGGGATTCCACTATTGAAATCCCTGTGTTTTCGTTCGGATCTTCTTTCCCTTGTGCTGTTAACATGTTGGATTGGTGATCTATTGGTTTCTTTACCAATATGTCATAGTTCTGTAACACTGCCGAGGCATCACCGAATATGAAATCGATTGTGCCATATATGTGGCAATCTCGGTAAAACTGTCTTAGGGAGTGGACAAAGAGTGTGTCTTGGTAACCCTTGAAGCTGCAACGGTAGAACACAGAGTGGCCTGAGCTTACCCTAAATACTACTGCTTGGTGCTTATATTGACCGGCTGTGTTCTCAAAAGTTATGTCCCTTGCCCAAAACCCATCTCCTGAAACACCTGCAGAAACAAATCAAGTTACACTTTTTTTCAAAAAAAAAGAAAGATTTGAAACCATACCAAATGTTGCAGAGCCGTAAGTGGTGGAACCGTCTGGTATATTTCGGTTACCAGTCACTATTGTCCTATCCATGCCATCACCAACAAACATTATGTTCTTTAGGTTCTTGTCTATGTCCACTTTCTCATTATACACCCCTGCTTTCACATGAATTATAACTCTCTGGCGACGACTGTTACCCATCCTAGCAACAACAACCACTGTCTCATTGATTATTTTGTGAGTGTCGGAGCCATCTCTTGACACCACAATATCAGCCTTTGAAGTTTCTGGATTCCAAGATGCTAAAAGTTTCCCACCTCTGTTGAACTCTGCTCTAGGCATTGCCTCTGTCAAAAACAAATGAACATTGTCTATATAAAAGAAAATGGGCACTATAAGGGGGGAAATGTGAGACCAAGGAACATACCTTGCTCAACCACACCATCCTTCCCATACATCGCATACAATGCCAAAGCTTGTCGAAGCATATTTGTCAAGTTATGAGCATGTGCGTGACCTTGCATCATAATAGCCTTCTTGGCAGACCCCTCCAAACAAGTCTGGTGGTTTGCGAGCAGGACACTCAACCATGTTCGAGCATCATCAACGGTGAAGCCTGGAGAAGAGAGTAACAACGAGAGCCTAGACTCGCTTTCATCGTACAACTTAATACATTCATTGAGAGCCATGCCATGATAATTTAAGGTATTGTGCAATCCATATAAACTCATTGAAGCCTTAGCCTGTTGGGAAATAAAACGAGTAACAAGTAATTTCCCTATAACCAGATTAGTGAGAATGCGAAATAAAAGCGGAAAAATAATACCCGAAATTGATAACGGAGTTCAGCCAAGTTGCTTACGTCTCCGGACTGTTGCAGATCTTTTACTAAGAGAGAAAATTTACAGGTGTTTACAAAACACTCACTACTCACAAGAAAACTCTCTAGTATTGGAGAAAGAAATGATTTGGGATTTTGGGATGATTTTGAAGCTAAATGAGCTAGGGTATTTATAGTTGAAACTTAGGGACTAATCTTTGACAATACCCTAAAGTGCAATGACTAAAGTGAATTTACCCATTCCTATTTTCAACAACATCTACCATACTTTGAAAAACATTTTTCAAAGAAGCATTTACCAAACTTTGAAAAAACATTTTTCAAAGTTGGTTGCCAAACTTTGAAACTAACTTTTAACAATCTCCCACTTGAAGACTGATTTTAATCTGTCTTCACACCTCAATCAATGCAGAAGTATTTCTGGTCTTGTTATTCTAGCATGCCAACTGAAGCTGAACACAACTTCAGTTTGTCCGTAGTCACCGTCTTTATCAACATGTCTGCCGGATTTTGAGCTCCACTAATCTTTTCAAGTTTCAAAATCCCATCTTCCAGAAGAGATCGTATAAAATGATATCTCAATTGTATGTGCTTCGTCCTGGAATGAAAAGACGGATTCTTTTCTAGATGGACAACACTTTGACTGTCGCAATACAAGACATTGTTTTCTTGCCTCTTGCCTAACTCTTCCAAGAAATTTTGGAGCCAAACAATCTCCTTGCTAGCTTTCGTAAGAGCGACATATTCTGCTTCAGTTGTGGAGAGAGTAACTATCTTCTGTAGTTGAGAAACCCAACTCACTGTATTTCCTCCTAAAGTATAAACATACCATGTAGTGCTCCTTCTGATGTCAATATTTCCGGCTAAGTCAGCATCTACATAGCCTGTCAGTATCGTATCTCCACCTTTGAAACAAAGTGCTTTGTTTGTAGTACCCCGTAGATATCTAAGGATCCATTTGACTGCTTCCCAGTGTTCATTGCCCGGATTATTCATGTACCTGCTAACAGCTCCCACTGCTTGAGCAATATCTGGTCTGGTACAAACCATGACATACATTAGACTTCTAATTGCTGAGGCATACGGCACCTTCACCATGTGTGCACGTTCTTCCTCCGTCTTTGGTGGCTGTTCTTTGGAGAGTCTAAAATGAACACCTAAAGGTGTACTTACTGGTTTAGCATCTTGCATGTTGAACCTGAAGAGTACTTTTTTGATGTACTCAGCCTGTGATAACATCAAAGTCCCTGACTTTGTGTCTCTCTTGATTCTCATCCCAAGAATCTGCTTTGCAGCGCCCAGATCCTTCATAGCAAACTGCTACGACAATTTTTGCTTCAAGTGTATAATCTCTTGCATGTTTGAGCCTGCAACGAGCATGTCATCAACGTACAACAATAAAATAATGAAGCTATTTTCGAACCTCTTGATGTAGCAACAATGATCTGCTTGGCATCTGGTAAAACCACTGCTACCCATGAAGCTATCGAACTTCTTATACAACTGTCTAGGAGCTTGTTTTAAACCATACAAGCTCTTCTTCAACCTGCATACCATATTTTTCTTGCCTGCCTCTATGAAGCCTTCTGGCTGCCTCATATAGATTTCTTCCTCCAAATCACCATGAAGGAAAGCTGTCTTTACATCTAACTGCTCAAGATGTAAATTCTCTACAGCTACAATTTTCAATACCAGTCTGATTGTAGACAACTTCACGACTGGAGAGAAAATTTCATTGTAGTCAATACATTCTTTTTGTTGAAAACCTTTGACAACCAATCTCGCTTTGTAGCATTTGCTCCCATCGTGCTCTTCTTTGATCCTGTAAATCCACTTGTTGTGAAGAGCTTTCTTTCCTGGTGGTAATTCAGCTAATTCCCACGTCTGATTTGACATAAGCGAGTCAATCTCATCTTTCATGGAAGACTCCCACTTGACTGAATCCTCCACTTGAATTGCTTCATCATAGCACTCTGGTTCACCATTGTCAGTCAACAATAAGTAGTGCAAAGAAAGAGAATACCGTTGGGTTGGTTTAGGAATTCTGGAGGAGCGTCTCAGTTCTGGTGTGCCTGGTTCTTCTTGAAATGCTTCAGGATTGATCTGAACATCATTTCTAGAAATCTCCTCGAACTCAGCAAATTCCTTTGTTTCAGCTTCGATATTGGAGCTACTTGATTCTATGGTTGCCCTGTCTTTGTACATCACATTGTCATTGAAAATAACATCTCTGCTTCTGATGATCTTCCGATTTTCATAGTCTCAAAATCGATAACCTAACTCATCACCACCATAACCAACAAAGACATATTTGTTGGACTTGGCATCAAGTTTACTTCTTTTAGCAGAATCTATGTGTACATAAGAAATACAACCAAACACTATTAAGTGTGAAAGGTTTATTTCTTTCTTGCTCCAAACTTCCTCTGGTATTCTTCCATCCAAAGGAACTGAGGGCCCACGGTTGATCAGGTAAGCTGCAGTGTTGATAGCTTCAGCCAATAGAAATTTGGGTAATCCGACATGTATCCTCATGCTTCTGGCACGTTCATTCAGAGTTCTGTTCATGCGCTCTGCTACGCCATTCTACTGCGGTGTCATGGGAACTGTTGTCTCTATTTTGACCCCATTGTTTGTGCAGAAATCTCTGAATCTACGATTTCTGTACTCTCCTCTATTGTCAGACCTCAACCGCTTGACTTTCAGACCAGTGTCATTTTCCACCATGGCCTTCCATTTTCTGAAGGTATCAAAGACTTCTGATTTCTTCTTCAGAAAATAAACCCACACCTTCCTTGTTGAATCATCGATGAAGGTGACATAATATAATGAGTCTGTAAGAGATGGAACTGGAGATGGTCCCCATACATCAGTATGAACCAACTCTAACTTTTCAGCCTTGGGTGTCTTACCAATCTTTGCAAAGCTGACTTTATTTTGTTTGCCAAAGATGCAATCCTCGCATAGTCTGACATCTACATTCTTTAGATTCGACAGCTTCCCTTTTGACAAAAGTGTCTTCATCCCTTTCTCGCTCATATGACCAATCCTTTGGTGCCATAGGTTTGATTTTCCATCAGCATCTGCTGCAGTAATGATATTCTCTAAGTTTGAGGTTACATAGAGAGTACCAGTCTTCTTACCACGAGCAATGACGGGTGCTCCTTTTGTAATCTTCCATTCACAGACTGAAAAGGTTGTACTATAACCTTCTCCATCAAGCTGTCCTACGGAAATCAAATTTCTTTTTAGGCCAGGAATATGTCTCACACCTTTCAGCGTCCAGGTGGTCTGGTTTGGCAGCTTTAGTCGGATGTCTCCTCTTTCGACGATCTTCAGGGTTTCATCATCAGCTAGATGAACCTTCCCAAAATCACCACTGACATAGTTCTCCATGATTTCTCGACATGGGGTGGAGTGGAAAGATGCCCCTGAATCCAAGATCCATGATTCAATTGGACTGTTGACGCTTAGAATCATGGCATCATCTGTCTCCTCTGTCATGTTGGTAGATTCCTGTATGCCGTTATTTTTCTTCGGTGCTCGGCAATCTCTTTTAAAGTGACCCTTTTTGCCGTAGTTATAACAGGTAAAATCTTTCTTCCCCGTTCTTGATTTTTCCCTTCTAGATTTGGATCTGCCACGATTTGAATTTCTTTATGAAGTTCTCCCTCTGGACTCCGTGTGCAAGGCTGAGGAGGTTGATGCTTCACCCGATTCTCTTCGTCGAATTTCTTCACTCAGTACCAGATCCCGAACATCGTCAAATTTTAATTTGTTGTTTCCCTACGAGCTGCTGACTGCTGTAACAGTAGCATTCCAACTGTCTGGTAGAGATGATAAGAGAATTAAAGCTCGAACTTCATCATCGAATTCAATTTCCACGGAACTCAACTGGGTTGTGATTGTGTTGAGTTCATTTAGGTGTTGAGCCACTAATGCCCCTTCCGCCATCCGTAAATTGAATAATCGCTTCATCAAGTGAACTTTGTTTGAGGCTGATGGCTTCTCATACATACTGGAGAGAGCCGCCATAAGACCCGCCGTGGTCTTTTCCTTTGCTATGTTGAAAGCAACATTGCGGGACAACGTCAGTCGGATAACTCCGAGGACTTGTCTGTCGAGAAGAGCTCAGTCTTCATTCTTCATGCCCTCTGGTTTGCTTTCCTGAGAGAGGTTGATATAGATTTTTCTGGTACAGAAAATCTTCAATCTGCATCTTCCAAAAGCCAAAGTCCGCACCATCGAACTTTTCAATTTTCACATTCCATTCGTCTGCAGCCATCGCTCCCACTCGAATCTGGCTTCGTTTAGATCGTTTCTGATAATTCTTGCGAACCACCGTGTATTAGAACACATCCATCGACAAATTCGTATCGCCGAAATTGTTTTTACTATTCACGAAATTCACTATTCATATGAATAGTAATGAATAGTAACCTCGTAAAAATTGACAAAATTTACAACGAAAAGCTCTGATTACCAGTTGTTAGGAAATAAAACGAGTAACAAGTAATTTTCCTATAACTATATTAGTGAGAATGCGAAATAAAAGTGAAAAAATAATACCCGAAATTGATAAAGGAGTTCAGCCAAGTTGCTTACGTCTCCGGACTACTGCAGATCTTTTA